ACTGGGCCATTCATCTGGATAAGCTGTGAGTATCCGCATTTCTGAATACTTAATGACTATAAACTCACATGCGGAGATAGATCGGGATATGCTCTAGCTACCGTTTTCTGACGTTGGCTGCCTAATGGAAACAGTTCATAACGAGGTTCTGGCTCATGTCGATCTTCAGTTGTCGTCGGTGTCGGTTGAGCGTCATATATAGCAGTAAATCGCCCCACTAACTGGAGCTTTGCCTTTATGTTTTCACAAAAGCGCTCTGTTTCAGGTGTATTCTGCGCGAATTGAAGCCGCTCAAAATTTTCCGCAGCCACATCACGCTGCGCAAGGATGTCGAACGCCTTTTGCTTAGACGATTTCCACTTAACCAAGCCTGACACTTCGCCTTGGAAAGATATGAGAGAATCAATTGCAGCTCTCCAGATAGGTAAGCAAGATTCATCTTCTAAATCTTTCAACAGTTTTTGGATCAACGAATCCAGAGCCTCCAAGTCGTCTTCCGTGAAATGCCAATTCCGTGGTTCAAAATTCCAATGTGGATTTGCTTCACGACGCCTTGCGTCGTGGTCACTTCGCTTTCTATCTTGTTGAGCTTCTTGCATAACAGCGATATTAATGGCTTTAAACGCTTTACTAATTGATATCAAGTAGACTCTGCTGCTCGACTTGAGATTTTTGGCAAGTGAAGGCGGACCTAAGGGCTTATATTAGCAGTAGAAGATGTCGCCATGTTGATCGACTTACTGTGCCAGGACATCATCGGATAGATGCGACGATTCATCATATAGACTCAGCCAGTCGGCACAGATCCAATCAATGGGTTCGGAAGGTTTTCCTTTGGGAATATAACTGCGACTTGAGTCTTGGCCCCCGTTTTAAATAAGAGCTTGTATGTTATGCAGGGCGTTGAAGAATTTATCCAAGAGGCCCAGCACCTTTGGAGAATGCATAGGCCACCGCTGTGATGGATTTCACGGCAGAGAAAAGAAAAGCTGCACAACGGTCACACGAGAGCTCAGATGCAAGAAACATGCATAAATAGCAGAGAGCCAGCTAAAAAAGGTGTGATGGATGAAGATGCAAGAAAGGTTGAGGAGGCGGTGCCTGCCATTAGATAGACGGCGCTTCACCTCAGTTAGCCCTAACAACTGCCGCCACAAAACCCGAGGCTTCGCAGGAAGATCGAGCTGCCCGCTGGAGGTAGGAGGTACATGTACTAAATCAGGCCTCGAAGCTACATATGCAGCCTGTAAGCACTCAGCCAGCTCTGCACGTATGTCAAGGTGAGCACAGTATTCACCGTTACTTGACTACCAGTGATACAATCGGAGAGTTCAAGTTTGCAAATAGGAAATTGCTGTTGCCATGTATTCAGCTGCTCAAGCCATGGTGGGTTGGCGAATACTCCCTCGCAGTATAGTCATGCTAGGACATTCATCTTGGTTCGTCAATTGCCACAAAGCCACAGTAGTAATAACACGAAATCTTGCCGCCACATAACTACTAAGAGCCTAGTAGAAAGTGGCATCTGGTGGAATAAAGTTAAAACACAGCTAGACTTTGTGTCTGTCCGACTACCGTGACTACTTCTTCTCGAGCCCCGTCCGAACTAATTAATGACAGACTCTACCAAGACGCACCCAGCTCTCGAGTCTGATGGATACTATTCTATACCCCTCATCGAGGTTTATCTCACCCCTTATCGCACGTACTACTTATATCTGCCCTTTAGTGACCGGCGGAGAGGACCACACCTGTCATGGAACTCCGGACCATATACGTCCAACAATCTCTATGTGATTATGATTTCCGTATCTCATTCTGGTAAAGAAGAAGAAATTCACCAGGAGGTTGTGTTGCATACTCCGCAGTACCATGGCAAAATCCTTTAATGCAGTAGTTGCAATATTTACATCAAAGAATTTTGACTATACACGCCGAATATTAAAACTAAACAGCTATGCAAGAAGTGCAAAACCAGCCTGCCAAAGGGTTCGTTGCGTTATTGTCATTTGATTTCTTAATTGTACAAATGGTGAGAAAAGACAGTGGTCGGGACGGCCTACCGCCGTTTGTATCATTGAATTTGTTCCTTGGCACTTTTTGACGTCAGGAATGAAATCTTCACAGGTCGACTCCAAGGGTAGAATCACACTGGGGACTCTGGTCATACGGTCGGCATATTTCAATGCAGTCTTGGAGAGAAATCTCTCCAGCCTCGACTTATACATGGACGTTCCATGGCTTTATAAGGTAGGACAGTATGCTCAAGGTGTTACACGGAAATGGCTTGTTACACAAGGGCTACGGTCACGGGATTAGGGCAGAAGGCCCTCACCGACTTCTTGTATAAATAGACATCTTCGGTCCCTCAAGGCCTTGAGGAAAACCAAGGACCTTTGATACCAAAGACTGTTATTAGATGAATTGAGTTATTACTCCAAGCCTAAGCCCTTGTCACACAAGGCCCTCTTGGCAAAAGGGTAGCATTGTTCCATTTCCTCGAGAGACGTAACATCTTCTTCAAGACCCCCCAAAGCCGAGAAGCCCGCTCGTTTTGCAGGCATAGGGCCTTCGCGCTCAGCAGCAACGAAGCTAGTGTGGGTAAAACAGATAGTACTGGCGAGGTGCACAATAGAGGCTGTCAGCACAGAGTATGGCACAAAAGAGGGCGTCCTTTGTAGTGTGTATAGTCTGTCGTACGACTTTACTAGAGTGCCAATTGCGTCTGCCGCTTCGGCACAGATATTCCGTGACAATAACGCAGTCCCGAGAATTTCAAGTTCCCTGAAAGGCCAAAATAATAATATAATAGTGAAATGATGATACATTCTATCGGAGTCAGTAGAGGATCAAGGCTTGGTTGGAGAAATTTGCGGGCAGACATTCTGAACAAAGAGCACGTATGGAGTGAAATTCTGGCCGAGCCGCAAAGTCTCTGGTAGGTTGCCGTACCAGACAAAATATTTTGTGTACAGCCGTAGCAGAGTCTCGGCTGTTAAAGATGCCGCAGGGCTGTGTACAAGATACAAGCATTCATGAGTGAGTTCGCTTAGCTGACAAAACAACACGAAGACTGATCGCTCATTTGATGCTTGCTCGCAGGGCAGTGTTAAGTGTACCCCTATCACCACAGCCATCAATTGGCCTCTCCAAGTTGCAAACTAAGAACTCACAGTTATCTCTAGATGGAATCCATGGGAGCTGCTCTGTTGCTTCTACGATAGGAGGCTTAGGTGGCAGGGATGGCATATACGACGTCGGCAACGAGCCAGCAAAGGGCAGAGCACTAGACAGGGTTGTTAGTATCCCACCGTATTGTAATTCTTGGATTATATAATTTTTGGCCAAATTATCTAGTGTGAAAGTCCCCAAAGAGTAGCCAGTCTAACGGTACGATGCTCCTGGTCCTCGTCCTTCTGTGGGTCGTCAACATTGTCCCGATGAAGGGGCGTCTCTATAGCCGAGCTCATACATTGGCCGGAATAATACGCACTCATATAGATTCGAATGCAACTCGCTTCTCGAACGGACATTATTCTCAGTTTCTGGACTGTGGTTACTGAACGATAATCTGCCTCGGAAAGGTATAGTCATTGACACTCTTTGAAGAAGTGTTCACCCAAGGTAACACAATCGCTAGAATCTCCCCCGATCGCGTGCTGAGGAGAAAAGCGGCAGCCCAACGAAAGCAAGGCGTTTATGAGCAACGAAGAGCGGTACCTGCTTCTGCAGTCATGGAAATCTCTGAGATGGTGCTCTTTGCTCAGCGATGCAAATGTGGGATATTCCCAACAAAGGTACAATGCTAACAAATGCTGTATCAGGTCGGTATCGCTGGTAACCATCGTCCATGACCCGGCAAATTTAGTCGTTGGCCCCCCAAACCGCCACAAGACAGAATTGCGTTCACGGGACGACTGCCCGCCTTGAGCGGCAGTCTGAAGCATCGCATTCGGCGCCGCCATTACGTCTGCAGGGCTTGACAATGCTGCCGCATGTCCCTCCTAGTCGCGTGCTTCAACATTCCTCGAACGGTAATCGTGGACCTCATTTTGCAAGTCAAATGGCTGACTTCCTTGGAGCCCAAGACTGTCCAGCTGGTTGTCCACACTGCTGCAGTTTATCACCTCGTATATAGTTTCGACAGAATCTCCGGCTCATAGGCGTCTCAATATATTGTTAGAAAGTTCCGGCTGGGCCAATGCCGAAATTACAGGGACTACTTGTGTCCAGGCGCTGGTGCAACTGCTCAATTTTCGTTCGGAGTTCGTCTTTTGACTGCCGTAATGGGGTCTCGTATATACACTCCACGGCAGAAGATTTGCAGCGACTGCATGAATTTTGTCCATCGAATAGTGGTTGGGTTGTTAGCCAAGGTTTTACTTTTTCACAAATTACTCGAGGGTCGATCTTTATGGTAAAGTTTATTAGCTTACATTTGCCCACTTCATTCGGCATTCTGTACAAGCGTTGGGTGTCATGATGCCACGACCACGCCTGCGCCTCGGGTCCTCCAATTGGCTTCCAGGCGTGTTTCTCGTGGACTTGTCGTGGCTGCTTCTAGCACACGTTGTGAGAGACTCGGTGCCATCTTCCGTAGAGTAGCCAGAATATTATGGGTAGTTTTGATACCGAGGGGTTATTCTTGAGCCGAGTTGTTCTAAATTGACAATGCCGTGGTGTATTTTGAGAATACGCTTTTCACTAACAGAGAAGTTTTGGAGACAGCCTGACCTGTTGTGGATGCGGCTAGTTTTGCTATAATCTCATCATGACGGGCGAGCCACAGTAATCCTTGGCTGTGGCAATATGAATTACGGGCCAAGAGTATTAAACCCGTAACCGAATCTAATATCTAATTCTAAATTCTACTGTCTATTACTAAAAATTAAACCTAGACACAGCAACCGCGTCGTGTGCTGGTGCTATTACATCCAACAGCTGTGTCTTGTCGCGTGATCAAGAGCGCAGAAGAAAGAGATATCAACAAGTTTGAAGTACTATCTTTTAGCTTCAACCACTTGCAACAGCCCCGGTAGTAGTTCAAATGAAACCGATAGATTGACATGGTCCGCCGAGCCCAGGCTGACGGGCTGCAAAGTACCGACCAGCTCCCTCGGTGGGTTGGCAATGCCAACTTCTCGGTCTACAACTCCGTCGCCAACGGTGAACCAAATGCAGTCGTCTTGCGGGCCACGCATGACTGGTGGCATCACGACCCGCTGCAGATTTTCTGCTGTTGCCATGGTGCAGACGCGGTAGCGGCCTGGTTCGTGGAGGCCGCCGTCAACTTCAACACTAAGTCTGTTCATGTTCATCATGGCTCCGCCACTGGTGTAAACCACGTTGTTATTCCGGCCAGGGACTCTAGCGGAATAGACAACGCTGTCATCACCTAGAAGTGCACCGCTGCCTCCAGCGGCCTTTTGAATCACAACATACACGTGGCCCCTGACTTGGCCAGTCGCCGGGTCTAAACGCTGTGGGCCGGCGTATGGCATGATATTATCCACTAGAAATAGATTCGCGATTGTTAGATCAACACTGAAGGCTGTGTTGGTGTCAAAATTCTGTTCCGTCTCCGGGTGATGAATGAGAGTAGAGACCATCCGATCCACTTCAGGAATCTGATCTGTGACTGTATAGACGGTTAGAACCTAACCTTGGTCTTGCAAAGGCACATGTCTCGAGAAAACCACGTACTCGCGTTGTCCCAAGAGCTTTCATCAACTTGTCCGTCATTGCTTGGACGGCGGCACTGGTCGTCTACATTGACGGAGAAATCTATACGGTCCGTCTTGGCACTGCTACTCGTTAGGTCGTTTGCTGCGTAGTCGGAACGATTTTGCAATTTATACTTGACGTGGCCAGACAAGACCTTTTGCGCGGTCCGCTTTGTGCCTGGCGTTGATGGTGGAAAGGGTGATGACTTGCCAATAATTCTTGGCGAAGGCTTTGAATCTTGTTCTTGTTTAAAGGCATCCCCTATGGCAGGTAGGCTCACAAGGGACAAAAGAATAGTGCTTATATACATGTTTCTGATAGCGTGAGTCAATGATGTTCAAGGGAAAGCAAAGGAAAGAATCGACAGTGTTTCTTGTTCCAACAAAAGGCCATCATAGTGAAGCAAAGTTGACAGATTAAACGATTATAGGAAGAAAAACTTTTCAATAAGAGGCGGAAGTTGGAATAATCTTATGTGCAAGCGTGTTTGGGATGAGATGATTGTATTGCTAGTCATGTTCAATTCCGAGACTGCATTCGTGCATAACATTCAGTATAATGTCGATTTTGAGTAGGTTTCAGATTGATTCGAAACCTCTCCTGCATCAAGGGAAAGGGAGCATTGCCTTCAATATTGTAAGAAGGGGGAAATCTGATACTAAAGGATTCAGGAGCGTTCGTCGGAATTATTCGATTGGCCACGCTTACTGTGGGTGGGGCAGACGAGCGTTGTAACGTCCGTCACGAGATACATGTACATTGGCTAGCTAGTGTGGACTAGTGGGAACCATAGACTATATTTGTCCTAGGATGATCAATGATGTCAACATCCGAGTCAGAGTTGCATCACTAGCCTTGTCTTGGCAGGTCGCGGAACCTAAAAAGGGAAGTAAAAGTCACTCTTCCGACACGACGGGCTTTATGCGGCATCCTGAATCTCGCCGACGCCTGGCGTGATTCATGCCATTATGCTTTTACTTGCGCGACGGCACAGGCCGCTTCTCTTGAAAATATCGATGCGATCAATGCCATATTCACCAACACATGGCTGTTGAGAAACCGGGGCAAACGTGTTGGCCTCTTTTACCAAACAAAGTGATTGCCTGATTTTCCTGATCGCCCGCTGTATACCGAAACTCATTGGACGATCGGCGCCATGGCTGCTTACAATGAAACAGCCTTACGGGAGAAGCACACGATACCGACGACGACGCCATTGAAACAAGGCAAGGGCGTACTCTACTTTTCTAAAACACTCATCCATGTCCGAACTTATTTCCATTAGACTGGACCCGAGTAATGCAGCCGAATAGCACAGCTGACCGTACGGTCGGAAACAACATTTCGGAAATTCTCTGGTGGGATAGTTGGCCTCCTGCCCTCGGCCGAGCTATGAATACACGCACTCTACATGCTCAACGTTTTGAGACGCACCAAGACGGTAGCGCTTCTCTCTGGAGCTCAGGCTACTTCTCCCCCCCTCCCTCCACTCCCATCCTCGTTCATCTGTTCTGTTCTCTTCGTCTTTTCTGTTGCATTCATCGTACGACCGAAATCATTCCTCTCATTTTTATTCTTGATGTCTTAGCACCGGTGTCTGCGACACAGGCTCCAAGTCAAACAATCTCTTTTAATTATAGTAGTCCTGTTTTTATCCGGGCCGGACCCGATTCTATCACTCACAAGGACAATAACATCCTCCGATGCCAAGCAAGTACTGAAATCTTGACTAGCAGAGACCCTCTCTTCAAAACACAACTTGGAAGCACGTCATGCACATCGCAGGTCTTCTTGTCGCCCTGGTGGGCTTCACTGGCGCCATCCAGGCTGCTGATGATTTGGCTTTTCGCCCTCGGGTTTCCCGCCAGTTGAGCCGGCGACAGTTCCAGCAACGTCCCGGGGGAAACCAAGGTGCCGTAAAGCCACCGGGTACTATTGTTGTTCCCCCACAAAAGGGCAATGGCCAGAATGGTGGTAACAAGGGCCAGAATGGGGGTAATAACCAGATTGGTGGTGGCAATGGCCAAGAACAGCAGAGTCTCACCTTGTCTCGAAACAGCTTGCAGCGTACTCCCAATGGTCTAAAAAATGCCGATGCCGGAACGGACGAGGCCCTGCAGTAAGGAAAAGCACTTTCTTTTCGTCTTTTTATGAACCCAGACGGCGCCTAACCAAGAGATAGGAGCCAGAATAACTTTATCAATTTCTGCTCAGGGAAGCCGCTATGCAATGGCGAACAGGTCAAGACGGGACAATCCTGCTGCAACCCCATCAGTATGTATGACCAAGATGAAGACCGTGTTGCCACCATCTAAACTTGTTTGACAGTCATGGGCGAGGTCCCAGCACCGGAGAAGATGGCCACTGTTGTATTCAGCCAACCGAGATTATGCGGCAACATTTCTCCCAAAGACGGCATGAAGATTAGTGCGGTATACCGGAATATAAACCTGGGAACCTTCACAAACCCCCAGAACACATACAACGGCAATCCACAACGGCTCGATGGGAATGGCGTCGTGATTGGTCACTCGCATGTCACTTGCCATCTTATGGAAAACGACGAGCTGCAAGGTGCAGCTCCGATCGCGGCGGCCGCCTATCTCCAAGACCGGGAGCGAGCCAAAGCAAACAATAACCGAGCACCCCAGAAGACGTGTTTCAAGGGCTTCAACGGCGAGGGGCGAAAAGCCGGCGGCGGACTCACCCGCATCGACCTGGACCTGGAATGCGGCACGAATCTTGCGCAGGGCTGCTGGACTTGCAGCACCATGACGGGCGCCAGCACACACCAGGCTGCCATCATGGGCAACGCTGATCGTCCTGCGCAAGATGCGTCTACATTCTTTAGTGTTAGCAATGATCCCAATGCTGACCTATGTGGTTGCGGAAGAGGAAACAGCGGCAATAACGGCGGCAATAACGGCGGCAATAATAATAACGGCGGTAACAACAACGGCGGTAACAACAACGTCGGTAATAACAATGGTGGTAACAACAACGGCGGTAATATTAACGGCGGCAATAAAAACGGTGTGAATAAAAACGGTGGTAATAAAAATGGTGTTGATAAAAACGGCGGTATCAACGGCGGTATTAATGGTGGTATCAATGGTGGTAACAACAACGGTGGCAGCAACGACGGTGTTGATAAAAACGGTGCTAACAAAAACGGTGCCAACAAAAACGATGGTATTAAAGGCGGTACCAATGGTGGTACCAATGGCGGTAACAACAACGGTGGTACCGAAGGTGGTATCGACGGCGGTATCGATGGCGGTATCAATGGCGGTATCAATGGTGGTATCAGTGGTGATAGTAATGGTGGTATCAACGGCGGTACCAGCGGCGGTATCAATAATGGTATCAGTGGTGATATCAATAATGGTATCAACGGCGGTAGCAAGGGTGATAACAACGGTGGTAACAAAAACGATCTCAACAACAACGGTGGTATCGGAGGTGATATCAATGGTGATATCAATGGTGGTTTCAATGGCGGTATCAACGGCGGTAGCAACAGTGGTAACAAAAACGGTGGTATCAGTGGTGATATTAATAGTGGTATCGAAAATGGTATCAACGGCGGTTCCAGCGGCGGCATCAATGGTGGTGGCAACCGCGGAAGCAACAACAAGGGTGGTATCAATAGTGGTTTCAACGGCGGTATCAACGGTGGTAGCAACCGGGGAACAGGATAGACAGACAAAGTGCCAGACAATTAAAAACATGAAGCATAACTATGTCAAGTAACAAAAATCTGAGGAGCAAACGACTACGTCAAGTTGCCAAGCCAAGGGACTTGACGGCTGGATGATAGCATATATTGCGCAAGCATAGTATCAAGTAGTTCTGTAACCAATTGCATGCTACAGGCCATGGGTGACAGAATTCTCAACTTGCAAAGCGTTCCACGCGGGGGTACCTGAATCCAAAGAAAAGCCGCTCATGAAATGCTTCAGATGAATTGCCAGCTTGGGCAAGAGTGGCATTGGTCTGGGAGGCAAAGTTGTGATGCACGTGGACCTGATTTCACTCGCTCTTGGAGGATTGATAACGACATACAAGTAACGCCATTTTCCATGTAACACATAATTACTGAGGGGGAAAGGATACCATAGACTCGACCATGAATTCATGTGTATTGATGGTATTGGATGATGGGCAATCAGCCCACCTAGGCCGCTGTGACAAGGGCTAGAGGCTTGGAGCAATTTACTCAATTCATCTAATAACAGTCTTTGGTATCAAAGGTCCTTGGTTTTCCTCAAGGCCTTGAGGGACCAAAGGTGTCTATAAATACAAGAAGTCGGTGAGGGACTTTGCCCTAGGTCTCGTGACCGTAGCCCTCGTGTAACCGGCCATTTCCGTGTGACAGCCGCAACGCGATGGGATGATGTCTGCCTTGCACTATTGCATTGGATGCCACCAGCAGCGGCCTGCCATTCTGATTTACACATGGTGTCATTCAACTCTTGCTAAGGATTGGCCAACGTCATGGTATTGGCCTCTTGGCAAAGAAAAGGCAGGTGACATGAGACATGCGCTTACAGCCTAGGCCATGATGACCATGGTACGTCATTCTACTCCACAGCCGACAATATATATGTAGGCTGGATAAATAGTTGATATGCTTGCCGGGCGAGAAAGAAGGAAGTAGTAAACAAAGGAGAAGAAAATGATATACGTCTGTTTTTTCAAGACCTCCGACTCTAGGCGAAGCGCAATTGCTCTGGCCGCATATCTATCAACAAATCACCAAGAAAGGAATGGAGTTAACGCCATTGACGAACGAGGCCTGCGGTCATCCCACATTCAATAAAGAGACAGTTCTTTTTGGAGCAGCATCAATTACTCATGTAGCCATCCATTCCGCGGTTACCCGGATATGGCTGACTTTGACGCGAAGACTTCAAGCCGCTTAGAAATATCTGTGCTCGCCTGAATGCCTTCCACCCCCCATGCGATGTCGTTATTGACCGCTAAAACTTTGAGACAGCGTATCGGTATAGAGTACATGATCACACCGCGTCTGTTTGCGTCCTTGCCACCCGATGAGCGTTCCCTGTGGCACTCGCACGTTTACGAAGTCAAGTCGGGCATGCTAGTGATGCCCAATAGCCTAGTGCCGCAGACGCTGTGGGATACGGCAGAAAACAAGGAGACGGGAGAGATTATTACTTTTTATGGGAAAACGTATCGTCTCTGGCGAACGGATCGAGAGGATAGTTTGCCACCTGGGGGACCAAGGTTGATGACTCGTTTTACACGGGATGGGCAGCTGGACTTGGCCAAGGTGGGAGAGAGAGATGGACGGCTCGGAAGAAGAAGGATAAGGGAGGGGAGATTCCTACCCTAAAATACACAAAGGCAAGTTTGCGGCCATGGAACTTGAGGAGCTGGTACAATATCGTTGCTAACTAGCAGGTGGCAGATGCGGATTCCTCATGGTCCAAGTCATAATTGCTCGTGGCAACTAACTATCGAAAACCAAGTGCGGACAAGCATGACCAATTATTTATGCTTAGTATCACGGATATGCTTTTTATCCAATTTAGTAAATATGACGTTTTACATTTCTTCAGATATTTGCCGCCATCATTTGCGAATTGACTAAACAAGACCCGTAATTCGTCAGCTTAAACGTAATATAAACAATCTTAGTCAAAGAACCATCTCTTGGCCTCGACAAGACAACAACGATGCGTGAATGGCACTTGGAAAGCCCGCCCCAGCCGGAACCGGGCTTCGGTAGTCGGAAGTCTCATAATTCAGGCATCTAAAGTCAAACCGCCCTTTTCATACGGTGTGGTATTATTGTAAACGCCAACCAGGGACTCTCCAAGCAGACGGATCTTTCCCACACCACCCAAGCTCAACGTGTGAACCAGCCCCCTCTTGTTCTTTGTGCAGCACCTACATATACATATGCAGTATATGCGAGCCACCCTGGCATTGCTCCCTACCCGCTGTTTTCCAGGACGAGGGCCGCCTCGAATCGTAAAGAGAAATTCAACTCGCTCACTAGTTTCCGAGATAGTTACTTGAGGGGTCAATGCTTCCGCTGAGGCTGGTGTACCGAATTCATCGGCTCTGCCCCATGGCTGTCCTTCTTTTTCCTTTTCACGACGATAATCCGCTTCATTCTTGATTCCCCCCGTGGCAATATCATAGCCAGAATTCTCGGCTGGTACAGCGGCATGGCGACTCCAAGCCAGAGAGGGGAAGGCAAGTGTGAGCATCACCTGTTTCACATGAAAGCGGCAGCCACTTGACAAATCGGGAGCCTTGCACCTTGTATTCCTTGTATTCCCGCTCAAGGCCGTGCGACCGAAACAATTCGACAATGGCGCCATGCAAGTCGAAGATCCACGTCCAAAGCGGATAGCACAGCCAGCCACAGTTTTGAAACCTTGGGCGTGATGGCAGGTCAATCCCAGAAGTAAACGATTTCCTCACCGTCTTAAAGCTCACTTCTAGACAAGTAGACAAGTTCCATCTTGGGCTTCCCATCCAGATGAGCACTGTAGCCGAGTCGGAAACTACTTGGGTACTAAGCCGCTTGGTGCGTATTGTCGATACATATATATGCGTTGTTCGGGGGAGCACAACGCTTGCTTCTGAAGCGTCGACCTGCAGATTCCAAGCATCCATTGCTCCATTGAGCATTTGATAGTCGTGCCGTGTCCAATCCAATGAATAGCAGTGTTGCCACTCCGGCCAGGGGCCCGACTCGTGTCTTAGATGTCGCAATGGGGTTGGACGAGAATGAAACCCTCAAGCAATTCATCACGATACCATGACTCGGCCTGCCGAAAGAACCGGAGTCTTGACCTTGGCCAGCTAGCGACCTGAGCCCATGGCGACTGGTGATTCGCACACCAGCCATGTAACCTGCAAAACATGTTTGCACCTCTGCAGGCTACGTGTCAAAACGGCCAGATCATCCAATGTTTACGGAGTAATAGGTGGTTCTACGACTTGTACGGTCCTGTCTCAGATTGCTCAGAGACATGGCTGTCACAGGTGAGCTGGACACAAGTATGCTGTATACCTAGTACAGAGTACGTTGCAAGCACCATGCATGGAGATGGATCGAGTTGCGAAGCATGTGGGACAGCATTAACAAAGCAAGTCTTGGGAAGTTGGTTTGCCAATGAGAATTTACACCACCTTCAGACAAGAGCTGTATACTACCTTGTACGTAGTATTCTATGGACAAGTCACCGAAAATGACCCAACACCTGCTTAATCCCTCAACACTAAATACTCTGCGCATACGCTCCGTGTCACTCCTCAGCCGGCACCTGCTAGACCGTCCATGCGCCCCAGTAGCTCTTGGTAGAGCACCAACGTGGCTGACGTCTTTAAAAGCATGATGCAAAAAGCAAGTGTGCTTTTTATGAGAGGTGTTACTAAAAGGTAAAAGGCCGGCAGCAAACGTGTATAAATACTCTTCGTTTCCTCGCTCAAAACGAAGCGAAACTTGAACTTCAACCTATTTTCCACCCGCACGTCTTTACTCTCAAGTCTTCATCTTTCCCAAGCTTTACCTACACAAATACCATCATCACTCTTTGCTTCCAGTCATGTCCGGCTATACCCTTCGCCGTCGTGCAGAGTGGACGCCTCACAGCGGCATCATCCTCGGCTGGCCGGGCTTGGAGGGAATACTCAAGGACTACCCCGAGTTTCTGGCCCAAGCAACACGGGAAGTGTCCAATATTGCCCAGGCCGTCGCCCACTTCGAGCCCGTCACCCTCGTGGTGGGCGCCGAGCGCATCGAAGAGGCAGAGGTGTACTTTAACGAGATTGAGACCCCCTTCTCAATCAGGCTGCACCGCATTCAAGGCGATAGCATGGACATCTGGATGAGGGACATCGCGCCCGTCTTTGTTATCAAGGAGAATCCCGGAGAGGGCACCCTCGCGGGTCTCGACTACAACTTCAACGGCTGGGGCGGCAAATACCCTACGCCGACTACCCGCGAGCTGGCTCGCATAATCCTCCGGGACCTGGGAATCGAACGCATCGAGACGTCAATCGTCACAGAGGGCGGCGCCCTAGAGACCGATGGCGAAGGGACCCTGATACTAACAGAGAGTTCGATTGTGAATGATAACAGAAACCCCGGCAAGAGTCGTCAAGATATCGAGGAGGAGCTCATACGCACTCTTGGCGTTGAAAAGATTATCTGGATACCAGGTAGAGACGGGCTCGACTCAACTGACTGCCACATCGACGCCCTTGCCCGCTTCGCCCGCCCGGGCGTCATCCTCTTGAGCAGGGCCAACGAGGTCAAGCCGACCGACTGGACAGTCGTCTACGAGGAAGCCCGTAGTATCCTTGGCTCTGCTACCGACGCCAAGGGCCGTCCGTTTGAGATTATCGAGGTGGAGGAGCCCGACGAGGATCTCTTTGAGCCCCCTCCCAAGGGCATCAAGGGCGTCAAGGGCATCGACGATGACCGTGCTGTGCGCAGCTATGTCAATTATTTATTGGTGAATGGAGGCATCATTCTACCTCAGTTTGGCGACCCGGCACATGACGCCGCGGCTATCAGGGTTACGCAACGCGTTTTTGGCGAGGAAAGAAAAATCTACCCCGTTCTCATTGAGCAGCTGCCTGTATTAGGTGGCGGTGTTCACTGCGCTACGCAAGAAATCCCAGAGTTGCCTTGAATTGGAGGTACTTTCCCTTGCGTGGTCTCTTACAGTGCTCGTTTTTTTTTTGTCGTCTGCCGTTCGATTTCAAGATAGCCGAGATAGTACCCTGGTGCGCAGCCTGCCTTAAATTGATTCCTGCGGTCACAGACCACAGTGTAATGATGGGATATGGCCTTGGAGCCTCTAATCATTTCCTCGTAAAGTATCATGCCATGCTGACTGGGAAGTATCATCCTGTATCGCTTTGGTCCAGGCAGGCGAGATTACACACGAGTGCGTGTTTTCTCGGCATTATCGTATCTTTGCCATGTTTACCGCGGTTCATGCAGCATGGGTTTCATGGCTAGAAAGTCATGGCAAGCCTGAAGGGTTGATAGTATCGAGAAACTACGCGCTCGCCAACCGCTCCCGCGGATCCCAGAAGAGGCAGTGATGATCCTATCCCGAGTCCCTACCCTAGCTGAGCCTCCAAAACTCCGTCACCGAATTTTCAGCCCCGGAGACGAGCATTGCGCAGTCTTCTCAATCCTAGAACCCTGGTACCGTGCCGTCAAGCGAGTGTGGCCAGATAGCTGACCACGACAACATCGGTGAAGCAATTCCGCAGAGCGATGACGAATTATATACACGCTGTAGTATAGCTCGACCCGCCTCCGCTAAATCACCCGCATCGGGTTGCAACAGCCCAGTCTCGGTCAACAGCGGGGACTTTTGTCTGTTCCGTTTCAATGTTGTCTACTCCGTAGGGAACGACGAAGCTTTTGAGCGGTGAGCACCATGATACATGACGTACCAGCCACAAAGATTGCTACCCGAGAAGACATATTGCCAACATGCTGGTTCAAGACCTGCATACCCCGTTGTCACCTCGGTCTGTACTCTGCTCTTCAACCTTCTACGTCTCTCCGCTCATTATTTTGCACTTGATGTAGCTGCATGTTTCACTCCAGCAACGCCTCTTTTGCCCATCTAGTAGTTACTAAAGATGGCTCTTTGGTCTTTGGTCTCGTAGAGTTGAAGCTCATCCAGCCATTACCGGGCGCAGTCCATGGCAACGAGTACAACTGCCGCATCACAACAAATCATCTTACCGGAGTCGGATAGCCAAGAATCTGCCCGCGTTCCATGTATCACATCTAAACGTGGGCTCAGTGACACCCAAAACGGCGTCTCAGTCAACGTCACACATTGTATCAAGATGTGCCTACCATGTTTTCTTGCATGGATAAAAGATGGCGGCAGGTTCTGTCTGCAGCAGGAAGAACAAGAGTAATAACGATTTTGTATAAAGTAGCTTAGATAAGAACATGTTTCGTAACGTGACAAATGCATGGCTTAGCTGCCCGAGATCAGAAAAGAGACCAGCCTGACCTGCAAGGATATGTAGCGATGAGATTCCTCTGTGGCGTGACGTACATGCCCTTTACAGCGCAAATGCTTCCTTTTTCAGTCCAGCTGCAGGTAATGTGTGCCAGTGGCTACCTGAGGCAAGAGTTTCGAAAAATGTCAATCCGCAAGAGCCTTCCTTCCCGCGGTGTAGCCTCTCTTGGTGCATCATCCTGGATGCTACCTTGTTGGAAAGGTCTTGAGACCCGATGTTGTATTGCTGCCACTAGCGCACGGCTCACAGTCGGACGCTTCTGGGGCTTGATGCATACCAGATTCAGAAAACTTGTTGCATCTCATATGTTGTCCTCCTCTCCGGCTGGGCTGTATAAGTATCCTCAGCGTCCGTACTCTACGACCACGTTGCGTCCATACTCCAATTCCGAGCATCAATTACCAATCCAATTTCTTGTATTTATATCAAACTAAATACCAAACAACCAAAACTACTAAAATGGCTACATCTACTATTAGTGTCATTAATGAGGGAACGTTCACTGCTGTTGTGATATTCACCGCCAGGGGCAAGCTCGAGCTCGACTATGTCTAGAGCGTTCCTCGAAGGAGTTGCGAGTTGAAGGATCCTGAAATTGTGCTTCTGGTTTGCACATGTCCCAGCAGGACGTGGTTATCGGCAAAGAATTTTCTCCCCCAGTGTTTGAATCCGAGCTCTTAGCCTGGTCACCTGTTTAAAGCCACTTGGCGATATCCAGATGGAATAAAATCGTTGGAACTAAAATAGCTGCCTCATGGACATGTACATTGCCTACCGTCTAGAGCATCTCCTTCAAGAAGCTGGATTTAAAGTCGTATCCAAGACATCCAGCTGTAGTATTAAGAGGGGGTTATTTATTTAAAGGTTATAAACTAGACTTATTATAAGATTATTGAGCAAATTGTACTACAAGGTTGGTTTGAAAACTACAAATGAACAGGCATGACGCACCAGAGTCCGTCTAGTTGGTATGCTGGCAACTCAATCATCGCCATGTCATGTCCCGAGTCTATCTGTAAATGCCCACTCCCGAATTTGCTACGCCACCAGACAGAGTCCTGTCGATAATACACCCAACCATGTGCCCCCATGTCCTGAAGGACGGCCAAACCATGTATCTATTTTCGGACATGTAATGTAACGCAAAAGACATCCAAGAACTTATAGACGCCGGCAAGGCGAGTGGCACAAAGAGTTCTAGTTGGTCTACAGAGGCGATGGGCTGCGCCTGCCTTAAAATAAAGGGAATAGTGGACGGTAATTTGGTTGGCACGGTTCTGAGTACTTGAGGTGAGGGCTTATGGCGGCACAAAAAGACAGGGAAATATTGCCTGTTGGTTCAAAGTATTTTGCTGATCGCAGTTTTGGGGGTAATCCTATTACGACTGGATTCGGACATGGTACATTTAAAACACGCGGTAAATTTGTTATGCCCTAATGTTGGCCCGTTTGGGAAGCTGACCAAGTCCCGTCAAACTAGCCAAGGACAATGCCGGCGTCTTGAAGGCCATCCAAGCCCACAAGGACCGTCTCTATCGCGTCATTACACGCACAGCTCAGTTCATGCTTTCTTTCGATTCCCAACATGACTCCCGGATATCCTGCGGGTGGTTCATGTCGGTAGTGGCCAACGCATCCGTTGAATCAAGAAAGAGATTGGTTCGCACCATGTCCCATCCTAGGGTACAACCAATAGCCCTTCAATTTCTACTTGGGCAGCGGATTTGGACCAAGGATATGTTGAGTATCCTAAAACTGATCTTGACAATCTCAGGTTGGTCGACGATTTCTTTTTAGCGTATTTTGGAGTTGCGCATTGCCCAGACGCCACATTCCTTTACAGTGGGACGTACAACAAGTTGCGAGCCTTATATCCGGCGCAATGAAGAATGCTCTGGATTCGGTCACAGTCAGGACGTCGAGTCGGCTTCACAACCTTGCAATCGTTGTGGCAGGACATGCGCGAACAACTCTATGAGGGATCATCTGCGCATTTGTAAAGGAAAGTGCAGCGAGTGTGAGAAAACTCGTGTCCCGTGCATCCAGAAATCAGCAAATGGCTGCTGTGACCGCTGCGACATACTTGGATATGAGTATGCCAACTTCTCCCACGAGGACCACGTCATACTAAATGACTTTAAGGTCTGCCATCGATGTGAGAATGACATAGCATGGGCGTACTTTGATAGATCTTGACATCAGCTCGGGCATCCCTTTTGTAAGAACGAGGTTCGGCCACCACAAGAAACAAGGCTGCGAAAGTAGTACCAGCAAGGGATTTGAATGTACAAGCTCTTCTTACGCCGATGCTCTAGATACCACGGAGAAACCATGTAGGCGTTGTGGCACGTCTCTCTTAGAACGCCGACTCCCATGGCACGAGAGCCGTTGAAACAGCAAGTGCCGTCGTTGCCGAGACCTTGACGTGCCTTGAACTCGCTTGCGAGGAGGAAGGGGGAAGTGCGACAGATGCACTCAAGATCAAGAAGAGCGCGACAGACCATGGTTCAGGGATAAGGACGATCGAGCTTAAATGGGCACCAAGAACTTGTAGCTAGAGACACCGAAGGTTCTGGAAGGGGTGTGTCCATTGTCGCAAATTGATATCTTTACTGCACGCGGCGCGTCCTCTCCAAAGACGGCCAGCATCATGGTGCAATTCATTCTGAGCCCATTCGCCCTTTTCATTCTATGTGCCTTTATCTAGAAAAGTCTGCAAACGGTATAGAACTCACTTTTTATTCTTCTTCCCAGCCCACGCTGGCAAGTATTCCATCATGCCGCCTATTCCAGCTCAATGGTGCCAGGAGGCTTTGAAGTTCTAGTACGACTGTATTAGCACGAAGCTCGAGATTCAAAAGGGCCATCAGTTCCTTACAAATCATAGACAACACGGGACACACCATCTACCTGATTGCAAATGGCACGCGAGACCTCCTAGGTAAGGGATTAGTACGCGAAAGAACAATATGAGGGCCGGGTGATTTACTTGGAGGAAGGAGTTGTCAAAGTTGAACACCTCAGCGCTCATGAAGTCTTTGGTACGAACAGCGCGGAGGATTATAATGTAACCCCAAACGCGCATATCACCAAAAACACCAACACTACGACTAGTATCAAGACCAGCAAAGGCTTGGGACATCTAGGAGAGAATGTTTAGCTTGCACTCATCTTGACCTGTGTGACGCGCCCTACCTGGTCGTAAAGGCCAGCCTCCTTGATCATGTTGATGAAGATATTGTCAGCCTTGCGGGCGATCTCAACTCGCTCCTTGGTGACGTCGCCAAGAATCCTGATGGCAATTCCCGGTCTGCATTCGATTTAGTTAGCAGACGCTTCAAAGCTGGCAAGGAGAATGAGAAGCTCGAGGGTGATCAACATACCCGGGGAATGGGTGCCTGTTTACCAGCGACTCGTGTATGCCGAGTTGCCGACCAATTGCCTGCAAAGCTTAGTAAAAGTGAAGTCAAGAATTCCCCCCTTTATTAACTTACCCTCACTTCATCTTTCTGTGCAGTATTGTTAGCTCCATGGCCGAGCGTATTTAAGACAAGTATAAGACTCACAAATAAAAGTCTGAGCGGCTCGATAAGCTGTGATAGAAGTCATGTTAGATTTCACTACGTGATAAAAGATAGAAGTGTACTTACACGTAAGCCTTGCTAAATAAACCGTCTTAGTCAGTGTGATCAAACTTGGCTAAGCGGTGTTCGACTTACGCCATTCATCATTCGCTACATGCTGGTAAGTAACAGGGAAGTGGATCATAGACGTTGATTTTTCTTACCTCAGGCAACCCGCCAGTATTATGATGAGCTATCTCTAGTTAGCTGGTGTCCAGTTCTTGCACGACTTCATCGAGCTTTATCGGCTTACTCTTGATTGTCGCTGAGGGTCCTCTCCACGAGAGCGACTCGATACTGAAATGCTATTAGCTTGGACTCGACATTACAAGCTCAACGACTTACACATCAGGGTATAGTGTCCCTTGCAAGAACCACTCGACCTTCCCGGAATTTGGTGTGTTTTCTGCTTCTTTTTCGATCTTGTGGGCCATGTTAGTAAGTCTTCCACACCTTCAGAGAAAGGCGCGTACCCTTATAGCCTCTTTCTCGAACACATCGATGACTTTGGTGTAGTCAGTATCATTGTTGCGAACCCATCCAAGATAACTCGGAGTACGTACATGTCGACCCAATTATCTTTCGCTTCTTTTCGGGATCGGTAACACCCTCGAGACGACTCAAGAACAGCTCGCCGGCATCGACAACGGTGAGATTGATACCGAGGTGGTCCCTGAGATTTTTCTTGACCTCCTCGAACTCGTTGAGACGCATACAGCCGTTGTTGATACCTATCGCGATGAAGCGGTCCCCAATGGCTTCACGCATCAAAGTCGCTCCAACAGTGCTGTCGACACCGCCACTCACGCCACCAATGACGAGAGCTTTGGGACCAACGAGGTCCCGGATGCGAGCGATCTCGAGCTCAACAAAGTTGCCCATTTTCCAGTTTGCTTGAGCTCCGCAGATGTTGACGCTGAAGTTGAACAGGAGATCGGTTCCGCGGGGGGTCTAGATCCGAATGTCAGAGGGAGTTCTAATGTAAGGCCTTGGAGGGACGAACATGTTCGAGCTCAGGGTGAAATTGGACACCTAGTCACCCTGTTAGCATCCTGCCTTGCTGAGCTACAAAGGTAGCCTAAGGAAGACAAACCAAAGATAGGCTTCTCCTCGTGGGCGATGCCGGCGAACTCTGAGTTCTTGGTGGCAGCAATGACCACAAAGTCCTGCTAGAGTTAGTAAGTTTCCCAAAAATTCGAATGAAAATTCACTCACCTTGGGTAAGTTAATTAGCTTGTCAAAATGGGACATGAAGACAGAAATTCCGTCTCCCAGCCCGGCGAAAAGCCGGTCGGCATGACTGTTAACTTTAGTGATGGTGACGTCCGCGTGGCCATACTCTACGAGGAAGGGTCAGAAGTAATTTCAGATGGTGTTTCAAGCGTCACAAACCTCGTGCCTCTCCGCGAACAACATTACTTGAGTCGATTCGCCAAGCGATCTCCTGGCAACCATAGCTGGGGTCATTCATGTCAGTGTCATAGCGTGTATCGATGGGTGTTGGAGCAAGCCGCACCAAATACCACTGTACATCCGTGTTAGTCTAGGTTCAGAGTCTTGAGAGAAGGGTAGAAAACACTCACAGAATGGGTACATCGAGTTCAAAAACAGCAGGATCAACATCTACACATGTGAGTACATGTAACAGGACGTTTGGGAAACGGAAACCGTACGGGGTGAGCCCTCGTCATAGACAGAGGAAGGACCTAGTAGCTCAGTCAGACCTCAGCACAAACCATACATCAAGACATTTCACACCTCCAGAGAAGATAATTCCTTTGGGCTTCCATGGCAGCTCAGCGACCTTGGTGGTACACGGAAGTAGCTCAGCGAAGACGCCGAGAGCCCGAATCCGTCGCAGAATAAGATGGCTAGTTTGTGAGCCAAAGTCGAGTACAAGTATGGTCTGGAAAGACAGGGTCAGCTAGTCCACTCGTCTTACGGCTGTACATCGATTGCGCCTGCACGCTCTGTCTGCGGTGACCAATCGCAAATTGTGTAGAGTGACGACAAGGGAGCCTCGAGGCTCAAATTCTGGGCTTCTGCGGGGTAGTGGCGGTACATACGTCGAAGCTATTATGAGGCGCCTCGGCCTCAAGGGTAGAAGCCATTGTGATCGTGGTTTCGGCGGCGTATCGAGCAGATTGGTGGTATTCGCAAAGTTGGCTTCGCGAAAAAAAAAATCACTTTTGGTGGTGAGAGCCTTGCTTGACCCAAAAAATAGTGGGGCCTGGCACGATTGGAACGTATGGAGTATCTTCTAGCTTTGGTTGCGCCCCCAGATCCAATGCTTAGAGATCACGTGACACATTGCTTGGACTACAGAAGCCCAAAGCCTCCAACTCGGACACGACTCAGGTAGAAATGGCGTAGGCTAGAAATCTAACCGAGAAAGAAGATTTTGGAATATTCATTCGTCATATTCTTCTTCTAACCAACTATACGACTGTACACCCGCGCCCTGTCTTTTGTATAGGGGGCGGAACGAGTAGTTCCAGCTTATGGCTATACTCCTGTTTTATTTACGCCAATAAGGCTCATGAACTCGTCACGCGTCTTCTCCTCCTCCTTGAAGCAGCCGAGGACGCAGCTCGTGATAGTAGCGGTGCCTGTCTTTTCAACGCCACGCATCTCCATGCACATGTGGGACGACTCTATGACAACCGCGACGCCCCGAGGGCCGATGGTTTCCATGATAGCATCAGCGACCTGTTTAGTGAGGCGTTCCTGAATCTGCAGCCGTCGCGAGAACATCTCGGCTATGCGGGGGAGTTTAGAGAGCCCAATGACTTTCCCAGACGGGATATAACCGATGTGAATCTGAGCGTTTTCCTAAGCTTCAGGCTGAGGGAAATATGGATTTTAAAAAGACTTACTTTCCCCGTAAAGGGCAGAACATGGTGCTCGCATAGGCTGGAGAACTCAATGCCCTTGACAATGACCATTTCATGATGCTCCTCGTCAAAGAGTGCATTATTGACAACATCATCCACGTTGATCTGGTAGCCCTTGGTTAAGAACAACAGCGCATTCGCATACCGTGACGGCGTGGCCAACAGGCCCTCACGGTCGGGGTCCTCGCCCAAGCATTCGAGCAGCGTCCTCACGGCGCTGCGCATCTTCTCCAGCCGGGCTTCAACTTGCTCGGGCGTTTCATCAATGCGGCCGCGGGCGACTTTTCCGAAACCATTACGGCACTTCTTGGAAGCGTTGACAGGGCGGTCGGTAAGGGGCGCGTGAACGATGGAGGCATCAGCAGTGGGTAAAATCTCATCACGCTCAATATCCGTGTTCCTGCAGGCAGAATCGACGCTGATGTTTGAGGAGTCGGACATACTGGCCATGCTGAGGAGTTGCTTCTTGGATTGATCCATGAGGCACGGAGCAAGGTCTGATATCTGAGGAATAGCAGAGGGACGAGAAGGCATATTATAAGTGAAAGCATGAGGAAAAAGAGGCGCGATTACCATCACAGTCATCGGGATCAGGCGGTAGATTTTGGTGGCTCGAGCCTGGGGAGATTAAGAAAGCAGAGGCTAAAGATCAATGGAAAACCGAATGGACTGAGTCTTGTTTCATCACGTTTGATCACAAGACATGATTCTGTGCTCTGTAATACTCGCTGGCAACGACATGATTAGCCACTGAGTCACCGGCGGGTAGAGATAGCAGGCCGAAGCTCTACATAACCGTCATCACACCGCTGTTAGCGAGCTTTTGCCAATGGTCCTTGTTTCATGAATTCCCGCTCGCGTGTAGACGTTGCACCATCTCTGATTGCTATGCCGTGATGCTTTGTCTTAGGAGCAGATAGGGGCGGGACAAGATCAATAGCCAACCGCTGACACACATCCCGAGGCGGATGTAACAGCACGTATTTGTAGTACACGGCGGGTATATATATGCGTCACTTTGGGCATGTGTCACATTGGGAACCCACGTAGTTTGTGTGGCAAGGAAAATTCCCAAATAGGATTCCAACAAGCCGCTGCAATCCCCGCGCTGAGTCTATAAGTAGGTCCACGATCAACTCAAAAAAGACAACACTACATCGGCATCCATCATTTCATGAGATACATACATACACACAAGCCAAAAGAATGCCATTGACCACTCTGGAGTCCCTAAAACAGAGCCTTAGGCACAAGGGAACGACAACGTCATCATCCGCGAAGAGGCCGTTGTCTGACTCACAATATAGTGCTGGCTTCGAGATCCTCTTAGGGAGTTCAGGATGGCTGACGTACCAAGACTTTATCATTCCTCAACTATCTGCACTGCTAGACCCTCTTGTCAACTCAGGTGTCCGGATCTCGGTGCTGGAAGTCGGACCCGGTCCTAAAAGCGTACTTGGATATTTGCCCAGCCATGTGAGACGTAGCATCGGAAGATACTCTGCGTTTGAACCAAATGAACTGTTCGCTTCAAGGTTGAAGGAATGGCTTCACTCTACTTCGGGGGCAGGGATCCCACTCCCCTGTCTAGAAAGCCCGCCTGACATCCATCGGATTCCATTTGTTGTGGACAGCAGCGCCAGCTTCGACGGTATGGGTGACGGTGCCGACAAGTTTAACGTCATCCTATTCTGCCATAGCATGTACGGCATGAAACCGAAAAGCAGTTTCATCAAACGGGCGCTAGAATTGCTTGTTGAGCGGCCAGGCAGCGGATTCGTGGTGGTTTTCCATCGCGAGGAGACCTTGCACCTCGACAGCTTAACGTGCCACCAAACGACTTCTTTCCCTACTGGAGTCACTCGCGTGGCGGATGACGACACGGTGCTCGACCGCTTTGCCCCTTTTATCGCAGGATTCACCATGCAGGATGAGCACGCGGACAAGTCCACCCGAGCCGAGTGGCGCAAGGTGTGCCGCACTTTGGGCCATCGTGAGCAAGGCCATCAAGACCAGCTCCTATTCAGCTCGCCCGAAATCATGGCGGCCTTTACTCGGCATGCGACAGCGCTCACAGAACTGACGTCGCAGGTGCCATTAGGAACGGGAGATGGAGCGAAAAACCGCCAGGCTCGCCTCCGCCGTCCGGCCTCCATCGTTAGGCCGACCGATATTCGACACGTGCAGCAGTGCGTCTGTTGGGCTTTGGATCACGGCGTCGGCCTGACCGTAATCGGCGGGGGTCATAGCGGCCATTGCCTCTGGCCCAACGTCGTCTCCGTCGACATGGGCGCGTTTGACCAAGTACACATTGTCCAAGCCAGGGGCGAGGGAGGATCCGGACCTAACTTCGACTCCGGTTTCTTGGTTGTTGCCCAGGCCGGCTGCAAGACCGGGGACATCGTCCGCAAGGCCATGGCAGCGGGCCTGACTGTGCCCATGGGTGCGCGCCCAAGCGTAGGCGCAGGGCTGTGGCTACAGGGCGGTATTGGGCACCTGGCTCGGCTTCATGGACTCGCGTGTGATGCCATCGTTGGTGCCGTCATGGTCAGCGTCGCCGATGGTCGCGTCCTCTGCATCGGCAGGGTACCTAGCCAACACCGGCCGATCGATGCTGTGTGTCCGGATAACGAAGACGATCTATTATGGGCGATGAAAGGAGCTGGGACCAACTTTGGTGTCGTAATAAGCGTTACTTTCAAGGCTTGCCTGGCTCCGGTCTACTCGATCCGAAATTGGGTTATTCCGCTAAGCGACAGGTGTGAAGCGCAACTCAGACTCGGTGATTTCGATAAATTGGTCGCCGCCAAGTCCCCGCGAAATTCTTCTGTAGATGCGTATCTCTATTGGGAAAGGGACATGCTGTGCCTCGGCGTTTCCATGATCGAATCTTCCACATCTAAGCCCGCCTTCGGAGCGCCGACAGACACGCCCACGCCCATGAGTAGACTTTTTGGACCCGAAGACAATTACAATACTGTAAATGGCGTCGGTTTGTTTGAGACGGAAATGTACATGTCTGGCATGCATGGTGGGCATGGCGGCGACAAGACCTCGTCATTCAAGCGATGCTTATTCCTCAAACATATCGGGCAAGCCAACATGATCGAAATCTTGGTAACAGCAATTGAGACTCGTCCCTCGCCGCTCTGCTATCTCCATCTTCTGCAAGGCGGCGGAGCAGTCTGCGATGTAGCAGCTGACGCCACTGCTTTCGGGTGTCGCGACTGGGATTTTGCTTGTGTGGTGACTGGCGTCTGGTCCCGCGACCAAGATGGAACCGAAGCTGTTCAAGCTGCCGTACAATGGGTGTACAACGTCACCGCAGAGTTATTGCCCTTGAGCAGCGGAGTCTACGGCGCCGACCTGGGGCCGGACCCCAGAGACGCCGCTTTGGCAACCAAAGCTTTCGGTCCAAACCGGCTGCGCCTGATCCGCCTCAAGCAGATCTCGGATCCGCGAAAGGTCCTGGCTTACGCTTGTCCACTAGTCAAAGCACCAATGGCGCCGACGCTCATCATTCTCGTTACGGGCGAAAGCTGCGCAGGCAAGGATTATTGCGCCGACATCTGGGTCTCCGTCATCACCAGATGTGCCTCCATGAAGCTCACAGCACGCGTAATCGGCATCGGCGACACGACCAAGCGAGAATATGCAGAGGCTACTGGGGCCAATCTCCAGCGCCTGCTTCGGGACCGACGCTACAAAGAACAACACCGGGCTGCGTTGACGGCATTCTTCCAGGAACAGCTACGCCATCGACCTTTGCTGCGGGAGGAGCATTTTCTGAATGCGGTGAAAGACGCCATGGATATGGACGTGCTGCTCATCACAGGAATGAGGGACAAGGCACCCGTCGCAGCCTTTTCGCACTTGGTGCCAAGCAGCAGACTGCTTGAGGTTAGAATTCAAGCTAGTAATGAAACGCGACGGGCTCGTGGAAGCTGCCAAATCAGCGGCGACAATGACGACGGCACGGAGTGCTACCCACCCAGTTTGCTCTTCCACAATGACTCGATTGGCAATGAGGCGGCCAAGGAGTTTGCCCAAACCTATCTGCTTGCCTTCTTCCACGAGAATCTACAGCGACTGGCCAGCATGGTACGCCCGGTGCCTGGCTTCCCACGTCCTGGTATCGAATTCCGCCACGTGCTTGACATCTCCCAGCAGCCAGGCGGGCTGGACTTGTGCACGTCCCTGCTCCAAGCTCACTTTACGGGTGACTGGGCCAAAGTTGATTTGGTGGCGTGTTGCGAGGTTGGCGGCTTTGTCTATGCGTCGGTCTTGGCCTTGCGTGTCGGCGCGTCTCTAGCCTTGATTCGCGAAACCGGCAAGCTCCCTCCTCCCACGATTTCCGTCCGCAAAACCTCATCACACATCTCGTCCTGCGCCTCTCACGATGCGGGGGAGAAAGGGATCGAGGTGGGCCTGAATATAGTCCCAAGCGGCGCGTCCGTCGTGGTGGTGGACGATGTGCTTGCCACTGGGGAAACGCTTTGTGCGGTGCTGCAGCTTCTAGATGAAGCCGGAATCAGTGCTGACAAGGTCAGCGTCATGGTTGTGGCAGAGTTCCCTATTCACCGCGGCCGGGAACTGTTGCGTCGGCGTGGTTTTGGGGGAGCCAGGATCCAGAGCCTGTTGGTCTTTGACGGTGCTTGAGAAGAAGCGACATGACATGATGGTTCTGTCCATAACAGCAGAATTGGTGAAAGGATTAGTCAGCCGCCGCGTGAAAGGGTCAGCGTGGGCGGCAGTGGTGTTCCATTAACGCGCGAGTGTTAGGGTTAGGGTCAGCCGGTCGCCTTCATCACAACAAAGACAGCTGCAACATCCAGCGGCAGAAACATGGTCACACATGCACTTTCTAACTATATTGGGTTAAAATGTCTTTCAACCCAAAATATTGACGTGCGAGGAGTTATAAATGAAATGTTTCAAGGTAATAACTAACTATACTAGTCGCTATTCTCCCGAACAGAGGTTATTTGTAGCAAAAAGTGTAGTTGATTGAGCCAAGTTTTAAAGTAGCTTCACCGGCCCAAAACGAAAGTAACCATCATCAACCTCGCTGGTTAATGGTGCCCGCCAAAGACCAAATTTTCAAAAGTAAAAATGGCCAAGGAACGGCTCCCCCAGCTTCTCGGCCGTCTTGGAATTTAAAAAGAGCCCTGGAGGCAGCGAATGGAAAATGCCCTAATGTTCATGTACCGCTGGCTCTCATAGACCGTATAGGAAGGGCCATTACAGTTTGGTTCGCTTTTTCGTATGAGTCAGGCGGAACGATAAGAGGATGTGATATATGGTTTATGAATTTATTACATACTAGTGAATGTTGCAATGTTCGCCCGAGTCCACTAGTTTGATGGAGTTAATGCCTCGGTCGATGCTATCTACATATCAGCATAATAGTAGTTGGCAGGCTATGGAATTGTGTGCTCACAAAGGAGGTCCTAGGTTCCGACAGACTCCATTCACTGGGATATTTTCGCTCTGCCCGCTGAAGTTGTTACTATCATAGATGATGGCGTCGCCAGCAGCCTCAGGGGCAGGGGAAGCAGCCACCTCGGGTGCTGCTGCTGCAAGGGGGATAAGTAGAGTAGCAAGGAAGGCAAGAGAATGCATAGTGAGGATTGTGATGTTGTAGAATAACGTTTAGAGTGAGATAGTGTTATTTCTTATAGTCGGTTGAGAGTAAGTGTGTTTATTGTTGGCATTAAAACTGGGCGTGAAGATGGCAAAACATGATGGCTTTATACTTCATCCCCGACTTGGAATCCCCCTACTACCTGGAAAAATACGTCCTCCGACATGGTTACAGACCACAATATCTTTCAAAAGGCTTGGACAGTAATATATAACGTAATGTGGTTCTAAGACAGTGGCATGACATCTCCAAGCAAGTTATTAGTATAATATTACCATAAAACTATTACCTACAGTGCCAAGCTGAATCTCTTAGGTAAAAGTCATGTAACTTAGATTGACGGAAGTAACCCGTGGTGGAGAAACAAGTGATGCACGGTAACGGTTGAGACATTAGAGTAAGCGAGGTCTTGTTCGCATTGATCGTGGTCTTGAAAAATTAGTCTTTTGCAATATGTACTACCTGAGCCGTCGTCTTTCATAAATGCTAAAATTTTCAATCCTACTATATATTACCCACCACTGTAGAGAATGTAGTGTCGAGGGGTTCTTGGTCCTCCATGCCTCCGTTACACATGGATCCCTTTGCTATTGTAGAATCGTATAATCCCTGGCTTTAACTCATCCGTATCATCCTTGATAATTATTACTTTTTTCAGTCGAACAAAAACGTCGGAATGTGCTCAGATGGTTTAGCCAGTCACTTCAAGCGTTTGCAATAGTGTTTTCTGGGCAGCATAAAACTATAGCATCAAACACCCAACCATTAAAACCCAAGCAGCTGGCGATAACATAAAGAGCTAGAACGAAACTAAACACTGACAACTAATTTGTCGTATATACGTGTATGCATATGCATGGGGTGTGGCACACTGCAACCCAAAGAGCGTTTCTATGCCACATGTCAGCCAGCGAGCAGGGCATATGCGATGAGCGGGGATGCCGAACTTTTGCCTATGATTGACACATTCTATCAAAAGCTCCACCACTAATATGCTGTAGGTCTCATGTTCTTCTTCCGTTGTGTGTCTTATACATAAGTAGCTAGGCCACTGCCGTAATATTTGAACAAGTTGACAAGGTGGTCGGTTGGAGCCGACAAGTCCCTGCGTACAGATGTCTCAAGAGCAAACAGGGATTATCCGGTCCCATCCTTGTGTATGCACTGTGACGTAGTGACAGGCACTCTCAATGCAGCCACGCTACTTTGCATGGCTGAACGCCATGGCCCATGAGAACTCGACAGACTCACAGAGCCTATCCGTTCCATTCCAGCCAAGGTACTCCGTAGTTTTACGCACCACATGTAGATTCCTGGTCTCCAAGATAGTGTAGGAGATCAGGACCCTATGTGTGTTCTGTTCCCATCATTGAACCACCTTTTTGAGATTGGCCCATCAGCGAACAAAGAACTGCTTGGTAAGAATAAAGGGGGGTCGGATACTGAGACAATCGATGCGAAAGGATTCTCCACACTCTTCTCCCCGACATAGAGAAGCGACAACCCCTCAAGGTGGGCTTGACTCGTTTGCTGCAGAGTTCTGGGGTTGAGCGTGCCCGAGGCCCGGTCTGCGCAGGGCTCGATGAATCTCTGATTGGGCATTCTATCGAAACCCGGCTACATACTTTCCAGTAACTGAAAGGTAGCCCAAGCATTGACGTAATTTGTCTGTGTCACCGAAAAAAAAGGACCCAAGGTCACAGCGGATCATCTATGGGGTGAGACATGCCGCCGCCGCGGTAACTACTGTGTCCATGTGAACAATGAGGATCCGATGGAAGACATGCAACGGTCAAACTAGCCCAGAAGGTGTGCTGACGCCTCACGTCAGTTTTGACATGGTTGCGGTGGTGACAAGTTCAGCAAGTATTACACATAGAGAAGGGATGAGGCCATCGTACCCAACTACAGACACAGTACAAGAATTACAATGCGACGTGGAATGGATGCCCAATAGTGGCCATGTTGTACAAGCATTGGCAATAATACCAAACCGTCAAGGTGCAGCTATTGCATGTAATAAGATTATATAAGAGCACGGGAACGACTGCCGACTGCAAGATTTGCCGGATTAGGCACGAGATTGCCGATCCCCAGCAGTCCCCAGTCCGTGGAACGATTTCAGAGGATAGTATTGCTTCGGGCCGTGCCGGTTGGCGTCTTGGCAACATTGAAAATATATTGTAGATTTTCTGGGCCGCGAGACCCGTGGTTCTCTTATTCCCGAGGCGTTTGCTACAGCATCAAACCAGAAGCCAGCGGTAGGTATCGGGACTATGGGTAATGTCGGCTCTATAACTGACGTGTATTACTGTCTCTTCTGCCCTCCTGTGTCCTGGATGGATGGAACAGGAATGCATCATGATGCTTTTGGGGGGACTTGGGCACCACCGACAGCTGCTGTACATCTGCCAATGACAACACTTGACCCCTTTCTCGCGGCATCTCCACGCAACATCCGTAAGTATATGCCAGGCCAACCGGAATACAGACTACATGCATGTAGACATCCTGCTGTCAGATATGCTGTGACTGCTGATGGGTCAAGATGCCAACACTGAGCGAACGGCGAGGCGGGATATTATTGTCCCACAGCAGGCCGGATTAACACGGCTCTCGAGCTGTAACCCGTTCCCATGAGCTTCGGGTTCTGACATTTCCCATCAATGAATTCAGAAAATGCGGCGTCGTTTGAAACAAAAAGGGCCACACCCCATCGTGCTTCGAGGACAAGTGTGACAAGGGCCTAGCTTGGAGCAATTACTCAATTCATCTAATAACAGTCTTTGGTATCAAAGGTCCTTGGTTTTCCTCAAGGCCTCAAGGGACCAAAGACGTCTATTTATATAAGGTTAGTGAGGACCTTCTGCCCTAATCCCGTGACCGTAGCCCTTGTGTAACCAGCCATTTCCGTGTAACAACAAGACAACTGAAACTCGACTGATCTCCATCAATCCCAACAAGCAATATTTCATCTAAACCAAACACCCAGCTTTACCAAAGCATCCTGTCAAGATGCACTTTGATTCATTCACTCTCCTCTGCGTGGCCACCGCCATCGCCGCTTCTGGCTCAGCTACGGCTATGCAATATTGTGGGCCAACTTAAAGCTATTGTGGCTGGGTGCTCATCAATGATTTCGGTACGTTTAAACCAAGCAGATGATGCCATGGAGAAATTTGAAGAGTTTACAATAGATCAGCTGCTAAGGTCCATTGACAGGTTGGAGTGCGGATACAATCACCGATCCAAACGGGGTTTACTACTGCTATTCCCCCACCGAAGCCTTTATTCTTAATCATTGTGATGGGGGCTGTGCCGGCCCAGTTGCTCATTGCGCGTAGACTGCGCGATACACCTGGCCTCTGGTTGCATCGACTGCCCATGCAGCGCGAGAAAGGGCTGTGGTGGTGCGTATGGTACCACACAAGCCATTACGGTATATTATCTGATAGGATCGTCATCAAGTCGGAATAATCCTCAGGTGTCCAACACGAGCAGAACTGCAAGCAATACTCGCCAATATCGAATTGCCCAGATACCTGCGTGCCAGTCCAGTAAGAAGCAAGTGTAAAATCCAAGCAGGCTCGGTGACAAGGCCATGAGCCACGGAACTCGATCGAAGGGCCGTATGAAAGCATCGATATCCGACAATTGTTACCACAAAAGCTAGCCAGAGGTTTCTAGCAGCATGAGAACAGCAGAAGAAGTAAGTGAGGTGGCAATAAGGAGCGGTGGGGAGGGTCATTGAAGAGGACACATGGAATACATGTGATGCGGAAATTTCTACACTAGGATCATTGATAAATATACTTGTCCTGTTCCTCGCGTATCGTGACTCTGCAATCGGATGATTTCCATTCCCTTACCCAGGAACTCTGTCAATGAGAGCTTTCTTCACCAGTGGCCATGAAGAGGTCACAAGACCAGCAAGTAACCTGTACAATATTCCATACCCTGCATTGCTGCATTTTCTCAGTACAGGGATGAGTAGAAAGTATCCAGGTCCATTCCTACCATCTCGCGAATACTGCGGCTCAAATCACAACCACCATCTTCTGCCCTCCTCCTCCCCGCTCCAGAGTATCATGAACTTCCTGCAGTTGGTCGAGGCGAAACTCTTGAACTGGGACTTTAATCTCCCCCTTCTCAACTGCCCGAATTAGTTCACCCCATGGCAGCGCCAAGAAGTCCTTTGGATCACCCGAGTAGCCTGTGAGGCGCCGACGCTCGGCCAGATCTGTAATGGGCGAAAAGTCATCCATTGTCCACTCCCCGCCCTGTATGCCAGTCATGCAGACCATTCCCTTGGGGCGCAGGCATTTGATACTATCTTTTAGAGTCTTTGTGCCAATCAGTTCCAGTACCTTGTCGAATTGTGCAGGAGCGTGCTTGGCAAGGTTCCCATCGTCAATAAAGACCTCGTCGGCCCCGTAGTCTCGCAGCATCTTCTCCCTGGCCCCGGAGCGTGTCGATCCCGCCACTCTCCCGGCACCCAGATACCGCGCAAGCTGGAGCGCAGTGAGGCCAACGGAGCTCGTGGCGCCGCGGATGAGGATGCTTTCGCCGGGCTTGAGTTCCAGCGCTTGAACAAGCGAACCGTACGCCGTTTGAAACATCTCTGGCATGGCGGCAATCGTGGCGATGGGGAGGCTAGTCTGTGGGATTCGGGAAATGTTCGCCTTCCAAGGGCAGGCATACTCGGCGTAAGACCCGGGGATTTGTCGTCCCAGTCCTCCCATGCAGGTTGCGATCCTGGTGCCGATGGGCAGGTCGCCGGGCTCTGCTCCGGAGCCAGAAGGATACCCAGCAACCTCACCAACAAGTTCAATGCCCAAGATACGTGGGAATTCAATACCCGGCGAGTGACCTTGGCGGGTGTACATTTCTGCAAGTCAAGACAACACCAGGTCCGTTAGGTATCATCAGGTGGGTGGGTGGGTGTTAAGGCGAGACGTACCAGCACGGTTGATTCCAAAGCCAAGAACCTTGACGAGGACTTGGCCTTCCACGGGGATGGGCAAAGGAATATCTTGCATTCTTAGCACGGACGTCGGGCCCGGCGAGTTGCAAACCACGGCTCTCATGGTTCCGGCCGCTGTCGGGGACATTTTTGTGGGAGGAGTCAGGAGCTAGATGATGTACGACTGTGCGGATAGCTTTGCGTCTAAACGGTCGAGAGGCTCAACAGTGAGAGAATATCGTGGGCGAATATGTTATGAGACCATGTATGGCAGATGGAGATTCCGGGGGTAAGGGAAGTTTAATATTATTAGGCCGGCCATCGCGCCCACAACCGCCGGCAGTGACCCCGCTCAATACTCGGAAGCATCGGAGGTTTGCTATCAATATGCCTACGCCAGTTCTTGCCTGGCATATTCGCCATCGGGGCTCCCACATGGAGATGCTAGAGTAAGCACTTTGTTGACACGTCACAGGTGTGGCGCTGCGAAAATTGCAGCACTGAAGTAATTTACGTGATATGCTGCCCTGTCAAGCACCATTCGGCTCACTACTTGGGCAGAAACAAAGCTTGTGTATCAACCCGTCAGGGTGCAATGTCGGTCCCAATATATATTGTGGTCATATTTCATTAGACCGGTGACATGTCCTAAATAACGCTGCATTGACTCAGGGGCTCTCTAACACAATGCAATCTTTATGCAACCTTGTTATTGTAAACCAGGCAAAACAAGGCAACTAGTTGTCATGACATATTCTGTACCTGGCATCTACGGCCCCTTAAATGCATGTCTCGACACACTTACCAGGAAGAGACCAAATATTGCCAATCTTGATCGAGTGCATAGGTTACACCATGACGGAATGAGTATTCAACGGAGGAACATGTTCCAACTTTCCGCCCTGCTTGCAAAACCTCTAGACAATTACTCAACTGCTTTTTTTGCAACACACTGCTTCTCGCCAGAGCTCCGTTGACGTCAGCACTCAAAGTAAAGATGAGCTTGACCACTCCATACAAGGGTGGCCACTGCACGAGCGATATGCCCTGGAACTTTCCTCAGCCCGTCGCCGTAACATACGAAATCACCGTTGGAAAACGACGAGCTTGATAATACACCCGAGGCCAGTGTATAATCTGGCCCGGAGGGGGGGATCTGGCAGTGTCAGCGCAACATCCAGTGTCTCTCGCCTGACCAATATTTACATTCCCATCAGTATATTCGCAGATAGCTGAATTAACAAAGCCTAAATAGCCAGATTTGTACGTAATGAGTCGCGGCTCTCATCTACTGTATCCGTATAAGACTTCTCTGTATCCAGCCCTTGAAAGTTATGGACTCGCGACTTGTACTTATTTATACCATTTCTATCGGGACTGGCCTCAAGACCAGGATTTACGGTCGCATAACATAAAAGCTGGCGCTTTCAAGCAATAGTTTGCGTGTATCTGAAATAGCGAAGGCGGAAAGCACAGTGATTGCTGTTTGTGTAGGTTTAGGTTGCGCGTAGCAGCGATCGTTAGCTGCAAACAGTATCGAATAAATCCTTCTTGGCTAAATAATAATAATCTTGATTCATTAATGCAACGCATTAACGGTATGGACTTGTGCTCCAGATAGCTAGTGACTCAATTCGGACTTGAAGATATTACTATTTTTTTTCCCTTTAATTTTTTTAAGGGGTAAGAAAAGCAAGAAACAAGGTTCATAGAACCAAAGCTGGCAAGTCCCATCTTCACAAGTAGATCGTGTAATAGCAGAACTAGACCATATCTCGTTTCCTCAGGGTGATCAGCAAGGCGTCAGAACCGCTAGCTGCAAATTGAATTGGACAACCGTTCCCTAATGGTTCGAATTTGGCGGGCACGAAACATGCCCCGAGAGCTAGGACCAAATCTCCCTGTACTCTTTCCTCGAAAGGACGGCCAAGGCTGTGCGAAGCTGCTCCGCCCACTCTTCACCATCCTCAAAGCTGCCCGCAAGAATCTGGGCAATGACTCGGTCCAGGTCCCCGGCAATGTCCTCGTCGGGTTTGGATTCCCAAAGTCCTCTCGCCATGACGGCATATCCACTAGTCAGCAGTTCAAGCCCAGGCGCGGATGCGGCATGATAGTTGTCAGAGGCGGCCGAGAAGCGAGCAAGAGCCTCCTCAAAATTCCCAAGCACCAGGTCGAACGCGCCGACGAGCCAGGCGCCTGTCCCGACCTGGACCGGACCAAGCTTCAGTCTTTCAACCAAAGACGCCGAGCGCTGGGCAAGATGCTTTGCTCTGAGCAGAGTAGGCTTGTCCGGCAAGGGTCCGTCGCGTTGCCAGCCCGGCCAGGCGTCAGCCGCGACATTAAAGGTGAAGCGTTGGGCAGCGGTCAACGCCTCATTCTCATCTGCAGACCCGGTCATGGTCTCGCCGACGTGGCTTTCTATATTGTCGGCAGCAGCGTTGGCCGTGGTGATGGCCGCTGCTGCATCTCCTCTGCTTCGAGCCTCTTTGACCTTGTTCACCTCGCCGTTCCAAGACGGCGCGGGACGAGAGGGACGACTAGCTGACATGGGTGGTGATGGTGATCTCCGCCAAGTGCTTTGTTACCGCGGGTGCCTTGGGAAGAATATTTGCAGAGAGATGCTGGACAAGGACGAGTTTGTTGAGGAGGGGAAGGGCAGATGGTGTTATATCCGGACAACATTCAGCTGCACATGTGCTGACTCTCGACCAGCAAAGTCAACATGCAACCAAATGACCGTGAATGTGGATCTGAACCAATTACATGCAGCCGCCAAATCCGAGTCTTGCCACTACCGCATCTTCATCTCGGAAGCAAAGTTGGGCATTGTTGGTCTTGTCATTGCTCTCGAGACAACCATTCCAATGGTAACGGCGTCTAATACAAGAGCATGACCCCAGATAAAGACAAGGTAGGAGGTCCAAAGCAGGAATCTCCAATTACTAGCTCGAGGTATATTCCGCGTCTACAAGCCAACATGTGCAAGAAGCTATTTTATGGTTCTCTGACAGCAGTGGAGAAAACGAGTGTTGTGATGGTATGGAAAACTTTGTAAACTTTGCTTTCATTGTTTCAATGACCAGTTGCTTGAGGTTGTGGAGTTGACTGATGCAGATAGTTGGATTGATATGATGCGTCTTGGGCAAAGGACTTCTCTGCAGTATTAGGTGGCTATAGACATGCCCCGTGTCAAGACATTCACCGTCACCTCGACTGAAATGCAGCCAGAAAGACGTCCTACTACATGCTTGAATTTTGTCCGCTCCCCGAGGGAATCGTTGCTATACTTCCCTAGCTGCGCATGTAATGGTCGGTAATCCAGCGTGCGCATCTTCACCCGGTGGCTGATATTGCTAAATACGAGGTGAAGAGCTCTCTCGTCCAGTGGGTCGACGTCTCGCTGGATCTGTCTGGTTTTACAAGTTTACAGAGTTAAGTGGAAGCCTCCGTCAGACAACCCTCACCAACTTATATAATTTTTAGGCGTCAACCACTGGCAATCATCTAGATGTCAGTTGATGACAGGTTTCAGCAGCGGTGTGCGTCAACCTACACCATGTCCTAAATCTTCGGTGTCTTTGGTGCTGCAGGCTAGTAGGGCAGCTTTGTCACCGACTACGTTCTCGGTGACGCGGGCCTGTCTCGAAAATACAGGCTCCGGGCCATTACCCGCGACCCGAAATCTAGCAAATTGCGATGCCTGCATACAGAAACATGGAAGTGGTTCGGGAAGACGTCCATGATCCCGGCTCCCTTGATACAGCCCTAGCCGGAGTGCGCGTCGTCTTCCTCGTCCCGCTGATAGACGCTGTGGGCGACACAGGCAAGTTGATGGGATCCATTCTCGCCCGCCCTGACGAGCATCATGGTAAAGTCGTTTATGGGGCGGAGAGGTTATATAGCCTATGCTTGAAGAGATTGCACTGGCCATGAGCAAGGCGGCGGGGGCAACAAGTCATCTATCGTCGGGTTCGGCTGCGCAAAGCGCGAGAGGAGGATTGCCCTCGTTTGAGGAATTTCTAGCCAAACCTGGTTCCAGGCTGCTCGGTATGTTTCCAAAGATCAGCTGACACTGGGGCTGCTTCTTTCATTTGAGAGAGATGGATTCCGCAAGTCCTCGGGGTGGGCGGAGATGGTGACTCGATGGAATGCGGCACAATGTAGCAGGTTACACAAACTTGCTTTGTCCTTGGTCGGGCAGAGGTTGTTAGACGAGCTTAGGCCGCGGCTTGAGGCTTTGGCCAACATGGCAATGGACACTCTGTGCCCTGCCCTCCCGCAGCCAGCATTGCCACACAGAATCTGTCATTGCTGGAATCCAAGCCTTGCGGCGCATCTGGATGATTTCATCAAAGCCAACGACATGTCATGGCCCGAGCTCAGCAAACAAGGCAGAGTAGGCACCGTATAAAGCCAGAGATGTAGACACACCCACCGAGATGGCCAGGGCACTCCCATCTAGTTTCTTGATCCCCTCATCAGCATCGTGCCCGCAAAAAAACATGTATGTGTTTTCAAGGCTCGTCTTTATCACTGGCGGCAACACCGGCATCGGATTCGAGACGGTCAAGGCGCTCATCCAGTCAACAAAAGAACAATACCACATCTTCGTTGGCGGTCGCACACAGGCCAAGGCATTGGCCGCCATGGACCAATTGAAGGGCATGCTGGCGCCGTCAAGCTCGACTGCTGAGGCCATACAGATCGACGTGACGGATGACGAGTCGATTGAGAAGGCATTCAACTATGTCAAGGATAGATATGGATGGCTTGACATCCTGATCAACAATGCTGGTATGGTGGTATTGCTCTCTTCACTCACACTTGGCTAACGCGTGCACCGAGGCGCTCTCTTCGACACCACCTTCAGCAAAGACGCATCCAACTTCAGGGCAGTCTTCAATAAGGCGTACGACGTCAACGTTGCGGGAGCCCAAGTTGTTACTGGCCTCTTCGCCTCTTTGCTCATCAGGTCCCCCCGTGCGCGGCTCATATTTCTCAGCTCGAGCAATGCGAGTCTCGGCGGGGCGTTTGAGGATTGCGATTCAGCCAGCACAAGAGAACGGCAAGACGGCTGGCCCAAAGATGGACTCATCACGCACCAAGGGTATAGGTGTGCCAAGGCGGCAGTCAACATGTGCATGTTGA